TAGGTTATTACTCTGTACCTTCAACATTTTCACATCATTATACTTGAATGTTATGCACCTCCCATTTGCCTAAAACATAAAAGAAAGATTAATTTATAATTTTTGAGATTAAATTATATATATTATATATATATAATATATATATATATATATATATATATTATATATATATTTTTTAAGTGTAAGTTACAACTGAAAAAATAATGAAAAGTTATTATTTTTAAGATGGAAAATACTACACAATCTAAATAAAATCAAAAAAGTACAACTCAAATGTTTATCATTCCTTAGACGAATGTTGAACAGGTGAGTTTTCCCTTATACAAAAAATTATATATATTTAGGGTTCAACTTTTTTAATTTTATGTATGCTGTGTACCGTTACTCTTTTGAGATTAAGAGACACCTTTTGAAGGAGGAGTTATAACTAATTCATGATCGATCAAAATATTTCATGAAGTTACCTCAAATAATTATAAATTCATCTTAAAAGGTGTAACTTGATTTCAAAAAAAAAACAACTTTTGATATTTTAAATATCGATTTTTTTTCTACGTTGTTTTGTGAACCTAAAATTTGTTCTTCAATTATAAGTTCTAATGATGCATGATTGCTGTTATGAACACTTACGATTCTAGGGAGTCGTGCCCTCCTCAATTTTTTCAAAAAATAAAGAAATTTATATATAGGCTAAAACAATAAATTAGATTTTTAAGAATTTGTTATCTCTCCATTTTGTTTTTTTGTTTTTAACTGTCAAAGATGTCTAGATCAACTTATATGCACTACAATTAATTCTTTCCTCAGTTCAATTAATAATAAACCATTTACGCCGAGATTAATACATTTATGAGAGGTATTCAATTTTGCTTTTTCTGCATAGACATTTGATTTCTCCCATTTTATGTTTGTGTCTTTGTATGTGATACTTGCTGCCTACATGCATTCATGGTTTTCTCATGATTATTTGATAAAGTTATTATTTAAAATTGATGATAATTTGATAAATTGATTTGAAATATTTTTCATGTATTTTTTCAAAGTCTTGAGTTAATTCTATTTAATTTTTTAATAGGGTTTATATAACTAATTAAAACATCAACATTAACCATAAATTGTTGAAATAACCAAAAATAAAAAAATAAAAAAAGAAGGGTCATAGTTAACCATTTCCTCACCTAAATCAATTATAGTTTTTCATTTGCAATGTGTAATGTAATTTTTAACAATTGACTTATAGTTTTGATCTAATGATATTTTTTTATCTTGTACAAATTTTGCCTTCCTTGAGTTCCTTGGATAACAAAAAATGTGATTTGTATCAATTGCTTAAACAAACTATATCCAAATCTTTGATATGAATTTAAATCCCCTCTGAAGCAGAAGTCTTAATTTAACTAGTATATGACTTGGGGGATTGAGCAATATAAGCGCGTCGAACTCACAAGTCTGAGCAACATAAACACGTCTTTATTCACCTAGGACATACGAGATTTCTCCTACTACTCAAAAAACCTTAACCTTCAAAAATTATATTTTTATAATCTCCCAATTTAAGATCAATTAAAATTTCTTGAATCATAACTTAGATCATTTTAAGTTGCAATTGAAACCGTTTTAAATTGTAACATCACCTCTAAATATTACAATACCGTAGTCATAGGAGATTATTATCCCTATCCCCCTATTGAATGGTGAGAGACCGACCACGCGGACTCAACCCTCGGTGGTTTATATTATGTCCACTTTGCATTTTGCAAATGCTAAACAGCATTTAACAAAACCTGTCAATCGCATTGCAACACCCTTGGACGGGACCAAAAAAACAGTGTCGTGTGACAAATATTGTCTCTACATCTATAATGTCGGTACATATCTACATCTCATAAACAATAGTATTAAACTCCCCTCAAAAAAAAAAAAGTATCAAACTCTCTGCATTTGAGAAACAAAAGGTTATCAATCTTAGAACTCAGCAATAAACACAAATGACTAGTATTAAAAAAGCAGAATAAGCAGGGAAAACAGGGACGTGCACGAAGTAATCAAACATTAACTTGTAGACTAGATCTTCCTGCAGGCAGAGGCACCAGATATTAACACTAGGCACCATTTTTACGCAATGTGGCCAGTTATGGAAACAATCATGGTTCATCATGTAATGGACTCCAGTCAAGTAATGAATTCTAGACATGAAAAGTATGGTTGGAGGGAACAGTACCTAATTGATTTCATTCAAAGAAGTTTTACTTTTTGGTAGGTCAAAATTGCCAAGAAAAAAGAACTTATGGAATAATTGAATAATATGATCATTTCTTGCATGGTTAGTCTTGTGGACAACACCCAACAGATGGTGTGCTTGATCCAAAATAGCATGAGAGCCATTTAGACCGGCTGCCTATAAGGGACCACATGCTTGCTACCAGAGCAAAGCTTTTAGTAGCCTGTAAACTAAAACCATTGCAAACAATTACCGTAGTACTTCCTAATGGAAGATCTATCACACAAGACAAGGTCCAAGGATCGTGAATAACTACGCCGCTAGATAGCTTTAAAGGCTCAGCAACTAGTTTTCATGCATCATAAATTGTATTATCCACAAGAATCAGTTTGAGAAGGAGTCACTTTGGCACCTCTTTCAGCCAAATAGGTGCAAGGCTTGAAAAATCCTCCGTAAATATTTCACCACTCATTCAATCTTGAATAATTGTAATTCAACCCAATAGAATCCACCCAGAACATAAGCCCTCCCCTGTTTCAAAGAGTATCAAATATATGCGAGATTGAATATATTATGAGATTTGGAGGAAATGCCTCCAACTGGATGTAACAACAAACCTGCAAGGTGGGGAGCAGAAATGTCCAGATCAGCTGCTTTGACTGCTATACCTCAAGCAAATACTTGGCAGGCCTCATTCACCACATGGAAGAATACCATCTCGACGATGTCCTCCTCTGATAATTTTGTCAACTGAGTCAAGTTCAATCCCACAATTTAGAGAAAGGGGGAGGGAGAATTTGTAACTATCACATAGGGGAGTTATATATAATATATCATTGCATTCCTTGCCAAAGTAACACAAGTGTAACACCACTCCAAACTCCCCCAGAAATTCCCCCTGCCTTGTCAATTTATTTTTACTCTGTAGATCTGGGCCAGCCTTGTGTTTATCATCATAGACATAGGATCCTTTGCGATCAGTTTCACCTAAGCAAGCACATTGCTTGTTTAAGAAACTTTTCAAGATTTAAGCTGAAAGTTAGACAAATAAAGCAAGAGGTTTATGTTTAACAACTGCACTCTTGAGGTTTGAAACACCCCCAAAAATATAGCCGCTCTCTTATCCTCTTGCATAATTGGGATTGGTATCAATTTATTGGTTCTTTCACGGAAATTATAAGTCCCCAAGTAACAATTGCAACACCAAAACCAATAAGGGCACACAATCTGCATGTAAACAGGGAAAAGGAAAATATATGAAGCCAGTTTCAGTAGCTACAATGGGATCAAATACATACAATGATGTTGAAACATATTGACTACCTGAATGAGCCCATTGGCATTCCAAATTTGGTAACTGCCTTGTCAATCGTATTAGTACCGTGTTCTACAAGCAAAATAGCAGCTTGAGAGTAAGGGAAGAACATATTGTTTACAGCAAACCCAGTGCAATTCCCAACCATCAATGGTGTTTTCTTTATTTTCTTCCCAACATCCAGCAAGTCAACAACTGCTTGGGAAGACGTCTTTTGCATACGTACAATTTACAAAAGAGGCATGATATGACTGCTGTACAACAGATACCTGAAAATATGGGCTCTGATAATCCAGTCATGAGACTCGGTCCTCTCACCTATAAGTTTTTTTTGGCTTTAATGAAACATTCTGAATGACAGCTTGCTCGAAATATTAGAAAAAGTAAGACTTTATAGGGGAAAAAAGGAGAAAAAAAATCATTACATGTTGAGATATATTAAGTTGTGTTTCTGTAATACCTCTATGACAATGTCCACATATCTAAAGCTTTCATAGTCAAGAACACCAGCAAGCAGATATTTTTTATTTTTTTTTTCCAGATTTCTCTCGAGTCATCTTCATTCTTCCCTTTCTTGACGCAGCTTTGCAAATTGACAGAGTCAAAGGAACATTAGTAATAAACCATGTCGTAAGATACTCAAGTAGAAGACATAATATTAACCAATCTGACCCCACCTCTAACTCTACAAATCCAAGCCAGTAGAAACTTCTCAATTACTGTCTTTCAATAGTACATGATCATTACTATCCTTCACTGAGAATAAAGACCTAATTTTTTGGCCTTAGTACCAAATCTAGATCGATAACACCAATAACCTATTTGCAGTGTTGAGATGAAAAGAGTAAACAGAATTAATCAAAGTAGTTGTAGTTTCGCTTAAAGTGGATTTATGAGCAACTTAGACATGACCATTTAGTTGAACTTCTAGTTGAAAACTCACCGATTCTTTCTATTAATTCCATAAGATCAAGTTTCTAACTCAAGTGACTCTAAACAAGTCATATAACCCCATCACGAAGATCATACAAAATAAATATTTGACTAGAATTGATACACATTTTTTGACAACCGATATATATAACACAATCACGACTAAGTTGATGTTTTCCGATGAATTAGTAAGAGTCAAGTACGGAAGAGGATATTAATTCTTGAAGTGTCACAAACTAATTTCAGAAAAAGAACAACACTGAGAAGATAAACAAGATTATTGAGAAGAAGAAAAAGAAGGATATTGAGTTGAAGAACAACAAAAAGAATAAGAATATTGAGAAGAAAATGAAAACTGAGGAGGAGGAGGAGGAGCAGAAGAAGAAGAAGAAAAAGTAAAAAAGAACACTTGGAAGAAGAAGAAAAAGAAGAATAAAACAATAATGAGAAAGTACTAAACAATATTGAGAACAAGGAACACAGAGATAATAAAAGAAGATACTAGAAAAAGAAGTGATAAAAGTATAACACTGAGAATATGAAGTAGAAGAAGAATACCGAGAAAATTAAGAGAAGAATATTGCGAATAATAAAAACACTAATAAGAAGAATACTTCAATCCTGGGCAGAAACTGAAGAGGAAGTAGAAGAACAAGACTTAAAAGAAGTATGATACGTAGATGAACAACCAAAAGAATACTAAGAAGAGTAAGAAGAAGAACAAGAGGTACATTGAGAAGAAGAAGAAAAATACGAAAACTAAGAAGAAGAAGAAAAAGATAAATACTGAGAAGAAGAAGAAGAAGAAAAAGACGAAGACGAAAAAGACGAAGAAAACTATTGAGAAGAAGAAAGATACGGGCGAATAAAGAGAAGAAAGTTAGAAAGAGAAAAAGAATACTAAGAAGTAGAAGAAGAAGAATGTTGAATAGAAAATAAATAAAGAAGACAATTAATAATAATAATAATAACAATAATGACAATATTCAGTATAAACATTGTATTTAAATGTGCTAGAAGCAATAGGAATGAAAAAATATATATTATATACGCCCAAGAAAGTTCACATGTCTAGATGCATACAATTTTTTTGCAATAGAGCCATAACAGTGATACATCCTCACCATAACGAAGAAAAACATACATAGTAAAACAAGCAGACAACTTATTTCGTTTAACTTTAGCAAGAAGAGAAAAACAAGTACAACAAAGACACACAATGAGAAATAGTTGGTTGGTTTACCATATAACCGTTTAAAAGGAGAAACATTCAAAATAATAATAAAAACAATTCAATTAATGAGATGAATAACTGTGAGAACTACCTTCCCCCCAAAAGAGCTGGGAACAACGTAGATAAAAGTAATGAACAAACAGTCTCCTTAACGTGTCTGTGTTTTTGCTCAGCCACATGTCAGAACAAGAAGATTGTTGATAATTCCATTAGATTACCAATGGGCCTTTGGTCCAATGATACTCCTTATCTTATAAAGGTTTTGCTTTCTTGGGGTCAAGGGATCAAATCTCTCTCCCCCTTCAATAAATCAAAAAACTCAGTATATCTATACTCCCCCATCCAAATCACTCTGAAAACAAATAGGTAACAGACTTGGCCATTAACCACGCAAGGTTTGGCTCTAATACCAAGTTAATCTAGATCCAACTATGCAAATAACAAAAATACATGTAGAAAAGAAAAAGAGAATAAAATATTACGCTACATTAATATTCTGTAATTGTAATAACTAGTTACCAAGATATATTATATTTACAACCCTACTTTAAGAAAAAGATAAAAAACCCCGAATGATAAACAAAGATACATACAATCTTAATAATCAGAAAACGAGGAATACACAAACAAAGAAAAAAATGAATATGAAGAAGAAAACGATGTATGCCAAAAAGGGTAAGAAGAAGAAGAACACTGAGGAGAAGAGTAAGTAGCACTAAGAATAAGAAGAAGAAGAAAAACAAAAATATTTAGAACGGAAGAAGATTAAAGAATCTTATGAAGAAAAATAAGAAGATATTGAGAACATTTAAAGAAGAAGAATACGAGGGGTATAGAGAGAGAAAAAGAAGAAAAAAAAAAGAATATTGAGAAGAATATCAACAAAAAGAAGAATGGTGAGAAGAAGAAGAATACTGAGAAAAAGAAGAAAAAGGATACTGAGAAGAACAAGAAGAAAAATACTTAAACAAAGAAGAAAAAGAACACTGAGAAGAAGAACAAACATAAAAAAAAATAAAAAAACATTGAGATAAAGAAGAAGAATATTGAAAATAAGAAGACAAGAAAAAGGAAAAAAAAAGTGAGAAGAATACTCAAGAAAAAGAAGAATACTGAAGGAGAATGCCGAAAAAAAGAGCACATAAAAGAAGAAAAAGCAGAGGAAAAGGAATAAAACCAAGAAGAAGATTACAAAGAACGAAAAAGGAAAGGAATAAAGCTAAAAATAATAGTAATAGAAAGAAGAAGAAGATGAGAAAAACACTGAGAAGAAAAATAAGAAAGAGAGTACTCATAAAAGAAGAAGAACAAGAATACTGACAAGAAAAAGAATATCGAGTAGAAGAGGTAGAAGATGAAGAACAAGAAAGAAGAATAAGACAAACAAGAAAGAAGAATAAGAATAACAAGAATAGTGAGAAGAAGATGAAAGAATATTATTAGGAAGAAAAAGAAGAATACTGAGAAAAAAAAATGAAGAAAACCACTAAGAAGAAGAAGACCACTCAGAAGAAGAATATAGACAAGAAGATAATGAAGAAGATTAGTGAGATGAAGAACAACACCATGAGAAAAACTACTGAAAAAAGGAGACGACAACGAAGAAAAAGAAAAATATTGAGAAGGAGGAAAACAAGAAAAAGATGGTTAATAAGAAGAGGAAAAATAATATTGAGAAGAAGAATAAGAATATAGAAGATAAAAAAAATTCTAAGATAAATATTGAGGGGGAGAAGGATGCTGATGAACACTTAGAAGAGTAAAAAAGAAATGCTATTAAGAAAGAAAAAAAATGCTACTGAGAAGAAGAGGAAAAAATATTTATAGAAGGGAAGATGAAGAACAAGAAGAACACTCAAGAGAAGAAAAAAAAGAAGGCGAGGAAGAAGCACAAGAATACCTAGAAAAAAAAATAGAATAAAAAAGGAAAGAACAATAAATAAAAGAAAGAATAAGAAGAAGTAGAATAGGGGAGAAGAAGAAAAAATAAAAGATGATGATGAAGAATATAAAAAGAAAAAGAATATAGAGAAAAAGAATACGAAAAAAAATAATACGAAATAATAATAATAGTATAATAATAAGAAGAAGAACAAAAAAAACTGAGAAGAATAATACTTATAAAAGATTAAGTAAAAGAAAAAAAGTACTCATAAAAGAAGATGAAGAAGATGAAGAACAAGAAAGAAGAATATTCAAAAGAAGAATAGTGAGAAAACGAAAGAATATTACCGGGCAAAAGAATACTGAGAAAAGGAAGATAAAGAAGAAAAATGCTTAGAATAAGAAGAAAGAGATCTCTAAGAAAATGAACAAAAAGAAGACCACTCAGAAGAATAATAAAGAAAAGAAGAAACAAAAGACTAAGAAAAAAAAGAAGACGAATAGTGAGACAAAGAACTGCAACATTAGGGGTGCAACTAGGACGGGTCAACCCGAATTCAATCTGAGCCCAATCCGAAAAAAAACAGGATTTGGGTTAGAATTTTTAATACTTAGTTTGGGCCTAGGCAATAAAAAAAAATTCAACCTGAATTGAATTTGGGCAAGCCTCGAGTTGAGGTCTCGGGTTGTAGGGTTCAACTCGAATATTAAAATCGGGTTGAACCCGATTATTAAATCGAGTTGAACCGTTTAACTAGGGTTACTATTTATCTTTACTCTTCAGAGTTTTGACTTTCATTTCACTTCACTTCACTTCAAGTTTTCACCTCTGCGTCTCCATCACTCCTAGATCCCTCTCACTCGTCACTCTTCCCTCTCTCTTCATTTGCACCTCGCCCTTCATCTCAGATTACTTGAAAAAATTAGATCTACACTTTAAAAAATCAACCCGAATTAAGTAACCCAAGCCTAAACCGATTTTTAACCCGAATCAGCCCGAATTAAGTAATCCAAATTCAACCCGAACCCGTCCGAATTAAACTTGGATAGCACTCAGGTTGAGTACCTCGAATTGAGATAAAGTTAGAGTTGAAGATTGTATACCTAGGGTTAGGCTAGAATTGACCTCTCAACTTACCCAACCCACCCGAGTTGCAGGCCTATGCAACATTGAGAAGAAAAAGACTACTAAAAAAAAAGAAAACTGAGAAAAAAGAAAAAGAAGAGTAAGATGAAGAACGACACTGAGAAGGAGCAGGAGAAAAAGACACGCTAAGAAGAAAAAGACTACTATGAAGGAGACAGCGAATAAGAACATTACTGAGAAGAACACTACTAAAAAGTAGACGACGAAGAACAATATCTTCTTCTTAGTATTCTTTTTCTTCTTTTTTGTAGTGTTCTTCATCTTCCTATTCTTCTTCGTTGTGTTGTTAATTTTCTTTTTTTTTGCAGTCGTTTCTTCTTCGTAGTCTCCTTTTTGTTTTGTTTCTTTTTTATAGGCTTCCTTTTTGTAGGCTTCGTATTCATAGTCGTCTACTTCTCCGTCATCGAGTGTTTTTTTTTTTGTAGTCTTGTTCTTCTTTAAATTCTACTTCTTTTTGTTCTTCGTAGTGATCTTATTTTTCTTCTTCATCATAGTCATCTTCCTTATATTCTTTTCTTTTTCTTCTTAGTAATCCTCTTCTTCATCTTTTTCATAGTCTTCTTACAAATTTTTTTATTACTTTATCTTCATAGTTGTTTATTTCTTCTTCTTGTTCATAGTTTTCTTCTCTTCTTCATGGTCTTTTTTCTTCTTCTTCTTATTAGTACTATTCTTCTATGTAGTCTTCTTTTTCTTGTTGGCATGTTACTCTTCTTTGTACTATTGCTCATCTTTATAGTCTTCTTGTTCCTTGCAGTCTTTTTCGTAATTTTTTTTTGTAGTCTTCTTCTTGGTAGTGTTTTACATGGTCGTCGTCTTGTTCATATTCTTCTTTTTCTTCTTAGTATTTTTTCTTCATAATTTTCTTCTTTTTTTTGTAATCTTCTTCTTTGTCGTAGTCTTTCTACTACTTTTTTGTAGTCGTCATCTTTTTCTTCACATTTTTTTTCTGCGCAGTTTTCTTTTTATTTTTTTTTCATCGTCTACTTCTTGGTAATCATGTTCTTGTTCGCAATCTTTTTTTTGTTTTTGTTTTTGTTTTTCGCAGTCGTCGTCGTCTTCTTCTTTGCAGTCTTTTTCAAATTCTTCTTCTTATTGGTCGTCGTCTTTTTCTTCTTCGTAGTCCTTTTCTTCTTCTTTTTCATAATGCTTTTCCTCTTCTTTGTAGTCTTCTCCTTCTCCGTCGTCGTAGTTTGCCTCTTTGTAATCGTCTTCTTTTTTTTTTCTTCCTTCTTTATCATTGTGTTATTCTTCTTTTTGTTCGTACTTTTCCTCTTCATAGTTTTCTATTTCTTCTTATTCGTAATTTTTTTTCTTCATAGTGTACTTCTTCTAATACTTCGCACTATTATTCTTCTTTGTAGCCATCTTATTATTCTTCTTCTTAATATTGTTCATCTTCATTGTCTTTTTCTTAGTTTTTTTCCTTAGGCTTCTTCATAGTCTTGTTTTTCTTCGCAATCTTTTTTTGCGTTTTTCTTCTTTTTTATTGTAATTTTTTCTTCTTCTTCGTAGTCACCTTCTTCTTCTTCTTCGTCGTCATTGTAGTCTTCTTTTTCTTACTTTTCTTCTCCGTATTCTTCTTTATAATCTTCTTTTTCTTCTTCTTCGTCGTCGTCATCATCGTAGTCTTCTTTTTCTTACTTTTCTTCTCCGCATTTTTCTTTATAATCTTCTTTTTCTTCTTCATAGTTTCCTCTTTCTTCTGCTACGTCGTCTTCTTTCTTTCGAGTTTTTTTTCTTTTTCTTCACTATCTTTTTATCATATTCTTCTTCTTTATTGTAATCTTCGTAGTATTTGTAGTCTTTGTTTTCTTCTTCTTCCCTATATTTTTTTTCGTAGTCTACTTTTTCTTCATAATTTGTTTCATCTTCGTAGTCTTTTTCTTGGTCTTCTTCTTCTTCTTCCTTTCTGCAGTCTTCCTCTTTGTGATCTTATTCTTCTTTTTCTTTTTCCTTCTTTATAGTATCGGAGGCGAATCAAAATTTTGGAGTTATATTAAAAAATTGATGAACAAAGAAACAAAAGTACTAAACATATACTCAACAAACTAACATACATACTCAACAAATTAAAAGAAAGAATTAGAAAAAACACACTCACATACATACAACAGTACAACACACTTTGAAGATCCACCATTGTTGAAGCTTTAATTGATGACCCACCAAAGAGAAATGAAAGAAGAGAAGATAATCAAAGGACATAAATTTCAGATCTAGTTCGAGAACCACCATGGTGGTTTATTGAGATCTGATCGTCAACCGAGAGAAAGATCTGGTTTCCTGAGCTTTGGTCTGCTCTTCGACTCATATCTGGCCTGTTCATCTATGGTTGCTAGTCGAGTAAAGATCTGGGGTCGCTTGTCAACTAAAATTTAAGGTTGCATGTTGGCCGAAATCCAGGGTCGCTTAACTGAGATCTGAGGTAACTTTTTGATTGTGAGAGAGAGAGACGGGCGAGAGAGAGGGACAAAGGGAAAATGTGGGTTAGGGACTTAGGGTAAAACTAGAGGAGTAATTTTATATTTATATGAACATATTAAATAATTTATATACAATTATTAATTAATAAAAGTAGAAGTCAGAGTCAGAATTTTTTCAGAAAAGGATTTCAAACTCTGACTCTGTCCGAGTCGGAGATGAAGTCAAATTTTCAGATAGTTGCACATCCTTAATTAAGGGTGTTTACCTTACCCTACGGGTAGGAAATATAGTCTTTCGTCTTCCTATCCGATACTTTGCGAAAGAATTTTTCTTAGCCTACCCTATCCGATCAGGAACATCAATCCATCATAATTGTTATACAATTACAATAACAATTATTTTAAGTTTAAACTATATGAAACACATTAAAATCATAACTGCTCCAATAGATAACTAATTCACCACAAATCATATAACCTACACGAAAAACAAGTCCATATTTTCACAACTCAAGCATCCACAACAATAACAATGTTATAATATAAATTATATCACACAAATACTCTTATAATTACTAAAAAAAATATAAAAAAGTTAAAATATATTTTTTACAGGTAGGATAGGGTAGAAATACGAAAATTGATGGGTATTCTGCATTCCTACCCAATTTAATTGGAAGACCAAAAACTCTACACGAAAAACAAGTTCATATTTTCACAACTCAAACATCCACAACAATAACAATGTTATAATATAAATTATATCACACAAATACTCTTATAATTACTAAAAAAAATATAAAAAAGTTAAAATATATTTTTTACAGGTAGGATAGGGTAGGAATACGAAAATTGATGGGTATTCTGCATTCCTACCCGATTTAATCGGAAGACCAAAAACTCTTCCGCATTTCCACCCGATTTTTGCGACTAACCGTTCAGTAGGGTAGGATAGGAAATTGCGGCCAATCGAAAATTTGAACACCCCTACCCTTAATCATAAGTCTTCTTTTTCTTTGCCATAGTCATAGTTTTATTTGTACTTGCATTCTTCATCTTCTTCTTCTTAGTCGCCATCTTCATCTTCTTCTTTTTTCCAGTAATCTTTCTTTCTTCATAGTCTTCTTTCTTCTTCTTTTCCACAATTTGCTTCCTCTTTGTAGTCTTTTTTATGGTCTTCTTACTTTTCTTCTCTTCGTATTCATCTTCTTTTTTGTATTATTCATAGTATTCTTTATAGTCTTCTAATTTTTGTCCTTCATAATCTTCTACTTCTTTTTCTTCATATTTATCTTCTTCATCATAGTCTTTTTCTTCTTCTCCTCTTCTTCTACTTCGTTATAGTCTTCTTCTTCTTTCATAGTCATCATCTTCATCTTATTTTTCCATGTAGTCTTCTTCTTCTTCTTTTTATTCACATTCTTCTTACTTTTCGTATTCGTCTTCTTTTATTTTGGCAGTCTTCATAGTTTCTTATTCAACTTCTTTTTCTTCTTCTTCTTCATGTTATTCTTCTTTTTATAGACTTCTTATCCTTGTTCATAGTCTTCTACTTTCTTGTCTTTGTATTCGGCTTTTTCTTCTTTCATAGTCGTCTTCTTCATCTTCTTCTTTCTAATAGTCTTCCTTTTCTTCGTAGTCTTCATATCTCCGTAGTGTTCTTCTTTTTCTTCTCCTAAGTAATCTTTTTTTTCTTCTTCACCTTCGTAGTCTTCCTCTTCTACCTCCTCATGGTCTTCTTCTTCATAGTATTTCCAATCTTCCTTCTTTCTTTTTCTTGTTCTTCATAATCTTTGTAATCATCCACTTCGTAATAATAGTTTTCTTTAGTCTTATCCTTGTTCATAGTCTTCTACATTTTTTTTTCTTCGTATTCATCTTCTTCTTCCTAGTAGTCTTCCTTTTCTTTGTAGTGTTTGTTTCCATAGTGCTCTTCTTCTTCTTCTTCTTCTTCGTAGTCTTTTTTTTCTTCTTCGCCTTCGTAGTCTTCCTCTTCCTACTTCGTAGTCTTTCTCTTTTCTTCGTGCCCTTCTTCTTCTTCTTCCTCTTCTTCTTCGCCTTCGTAGTCTTCCTCTTCCTATTTCCTCATGGTCTTCTTCTTCGTAGTATTTCCAGCCTACCTTCTTTTTCTTGTTCTTCATAATCTTTGTAGTCATCCTCTTCATAAGAGTAGTTTTTTTCTTTGGAGTCTACTTCGTATTTTTTTTCTTCTTAGCAATTTTTTTCGTAGCCTTTATTTTCTTATTCTTCATAGCCTTTTTCTTCATCGTCTTCTTCTTCGTAGTCTTTCTATTTTCTTCGTGCCCTTCTTCTTCTTCCTCTTCTTCGTAGTGGTGGTGGTGGTGGTGTTCTTCATCTTTTTCTTCTTCATAATCTTCCTTTTCGTAGTCTTCTTCTTCGTAATTTTCTTCTTTTGCATTGGCGTGTTAATCTTTTTCATCATTGTCATCATCTTCTTCTTCTTCTTTGTAGTATTCCTCTTCTACCTCCTCATGGTCTTCTTCTTCGTAGTATTTCCAGCCTACCTTCTTTTTCTTGTTCTTCATAATCTTTGTAGTCATCCTCTTCATACTAGTAGTTTTCTTCTTCTTTGGAATGTCTACATCTTTGTAATCTTTTACGTATTTTTTTCTCTGCAATTTTTTTTGTAATCTTTATTTTCTTCTTCTTTATAGCTTTTTTCTTCATCGTCTTCTTCGTAGTCTCTCTCTTTTCTTCGTGCCCTTCTTCTTCTTCTTCTTCGTAGTGGTGGTGGTGGTGGTGGTGACGTTCTTCATCTTTTTCTTCTTCGTAATCTTCCTTTTCGTAGTCATCTTCGTAGTTTTCTTCTTTTTGCATTGGCGTGTTGATCTTCTTCGTCGTTGTCATCTTATTCTTCTTCTTCTTTGTAGTATTCTTTTTCTTATCCTACTTGTACTCTTCTTCTTTGTACTTCGTTTTCGTAGTCTAATCTTCGCAATTTTATCTTTCTATTTCTTCGTACTGTTCTTCGCTTTTTCTTTGTACTCATCTTTTTCAACATCGTCAAGTCTTTTTTTTTCGTAGTGTTCTTCTTAATTGGAGTCTTATTCTTCTTTTTTGAAGAACACCACCACTACAAAAAGAACAAGAGGAAGAAGAAGAACACTACGACAAGAAGAAGAATAAGAAACTACGAAGAAGAAAAAGACCAAAAAGAAGAACACTACTAAGAAAAAAAATACTACTACTAAGAAGAAGAAGAACACAAATAAAAATTAAGAAGAATAAGAAGACAACGAGTACTAAGAAGAAGAAGTAGAAGACTATGAAGAATAAGAAAACTACGGAGGGAAAGACTACTATGAAGAAGAAGACAATGAAGAGCAAGACTACGAAGAAGAAGAAAAAGAATAAGAATAATAAATCTACAAACAAGAACACTATGAAGAGGAAAACAACTACGAAGAAGAAGAAAAAGCCTCGAAGTCTCCAAAAAAGAAGAAACAGAACAACAACAACAATACGAAGAAAAAGAAGAGGACAAAGAAGAACACTATGAAGAAGAAAAATAAGACGCATTTGAAGAACTAAAAAAACACTACAAAGAAGACAACTAAGAAGAACAAGAATATGACTACGAAAAAAAGGCCGGAAAATAAGAATACTATGAAGAAGAAAAATAAGGAGACTATGAAGAAGAATTCCACGACGGAGAAAAATAAAAACACTATGACAATGAAGAATGACGGAGAAAAATAAAAACACTATCAAGAAGAAGACAACTACAAAGAAAACCACAAATAAGACTACGAAAAAAGAAAAAAGAATAAGAGAACTATGACGAGGAAGAATGCGAAGAATAAAAAAAACATTACAAAGAAGCGGAAGAAGAACACTACGAAGAAGAGAAGAAGAAGACAAATGCGAAAAAAGACTAAACACAAGAAGACTACAAAGAAGAAGAATAAAAATACGAATGCGAAGAGGAACACTATGAAGAAAAAGAACAAGAAGAAGGAGAATACTATGAAGAATAAGATGACGACTACGAAGAATAAGAAAAAGAAGACTATGAAAGAAGAACTAGAACAAGAAGGCCATGAAGAAAAAATAATAAAAAAGACTGCAAAGAGGAAGAATATGAAGAAAAAGAACCAGAAGAAGGAGAATAATATGAAGAAGACTACGAAGAATAAGAAGAACAAGGCTACAAAGAATAAGAAGAAGATGACTACGAAGAATAAGAAAAAGAAAACTATGAAGAACAAAAAGAACAAGAACAAGAAGGCCATGAAGAAAAAGAATAAAAGGACTACGAAGAACAATAACAACAATACTACGAAGAAGAGATAGAAGAACACTGCAAACAAGAAGAAGAAGACTACAAATAAGAACAAAATTAGAGATGACGACAAATGACGGAAAAGAAGACGACTACGAAGAATAAGAATAAGAAGGCAACGAAGAAGAAGAACACAACAACACCATCACCACCACTACAAAGAAAAAGGGGAAGAAGAGAAGAAGATAACACTACGAAGACTACGAAAAGAATTCCAAAGAAGAAGACGAACAAGATTGTGAAGAAGACGATGATTACAAAAAGAAGAGGATACAACAAGTAAACTATCAAGAAGAAGACTATGAAAAAAAAAAGACTAGAAAAAGTAGAAGGAAAAGAAAACTTCAAAGAAAAAGACTAAGAAGAATAACGCGGCGTGTTCGAATTATGATCGCTTTTACTCGAGAAAGGGGGACCAAGTATTCCTCAATGACCGATAGCATACAAGTACTGTGCAGGGGTCTCTTCCCGAGGGAAATCAAAATAATTGTACGAGCATCATATCTTAGTCCACAACTTCCGAGAGCTTGTGGTGTTCTCGAATACACAGATCAAGAAGTGCAGTTTGATCATCTTCCTAAACACTGGCCATCAGAGATGCGTGATTGCAAGGCTAGCAACAAGCAGGCTCACTTATGATCTGCTGAAATAGTAAAGGGATAGGGCTCAGGTCATGCGACGAATACAAGCTGGACTTTGAAGCAAAAAATTCAATCTTTCATAAAAGAAGGAAAAATCAACGTGTGGATGAACAAGACTACTTCTATTCTTTGGCATCCTGCCTCAAATAGACCAGGCTCCTTCATTCCTTAGTAATCTCCTTCATTCATGCCTTATCTTTATTATTAGTAAGCCCCTTCATATCTTTTCTCGGTGAAGCATTTTATATGGCAATTTTTTGGATGTTAAATACCATTGGCTGGGATGAAGGGTTGGAGCAATATTTAGTTGGGAATGGACCATATGGATCTCTTCTGGTGGGCTGTGCGAAAGAGCAACTACAAACATTATGAAGAAGAAGAAGACTATGAAGAAAAAGTAATTGACAACAAAGACGAAGAAGATGCAGAAAGAGCAAGAACAAAACGAAGTCCTTGAATGAGAGAAAGTGAAGATAATGCAATTTCAAGACAGAACCTCTTTTTTTTCCTCCGTGTCTAGCTCATAGTCACTCTTAGAAAAAGGCATGGGATGCAAACAAAAACAGTCCCTCAAAACATATGCCTTTGCCACCACAGAATTTTGGAACAGAGAACAAATTGATGCTCCCGATGATTCTGATTCCTCTAGACTTCCATCATGAATCAAATTTATATGTTTTTTAGTGTTTGGGATTTGTCTTCCCATTTCTGGCCTTGATCACATTGTTTTCGGGGCAGGGGGTTCTTATGAATAGTCCAGGGGCATGGGCCAGAAATCTTTTCCTTGAACTAGAATCAATTTTGAATATAAAAAGCGTATCCTGACACTATGGGACTGATACCAAACTGTGGAGAAAAAATTCTGCAATCATGCTAGAATCATAAAACAAATGCAATGCTACACACCAAAAGTGAATTAGGCAACAATCAAACAATTAATGTCAGCAAAGTGGTACAAGGAAAAATAGCAAGACAATCAAAATGTTCACTTGTTCAGAACAATACCGCATCCAGCCTCTGATATCCTGTCACAAATCCATGTCATAGTCATTGCACTACACAAGCAGAAAAGTTGTGACCATCATATGTTTTACCCTGCAAACATATCACGACAAAGTATTTCTCACAAAATTAAATGATTTTGCAATATAAATTATCAATTTTATGAATTGAATTCTGGGAATGCATCAAATCACTTCAGATTAGCAGGCAACTTTGTCGAACTCCACCTAACCAGCAACAGACATGTGAAAGGGAAAAATAAAAAACGAGTACAAGTGTACAACTGGCTTTGGTGGTGGGTGAACAGTTGTCTAAAGTTAGGTTTTCAACGATCAAGAGTAATCATAGATCAGATGTTTCATTTACAGGCGATGCATCAAGACTCAAGAGACAATACAACACAGTTTTCACATGAGAGGACCTGCTCGAAATTTCCATTGCATTGAATTATCAGTGGGAACCGATGGATTTGACAAATCAAACCACTTCCCTATATAAAAGAAATGGAATAAGAATCATGCAGCCGAAGGAGATCGAATAATGTGATGCACAAGTTTATATGTACTGGAAAATTGAAAAGTGCATAACATAGTAGCACATTGGTAGGTGAACACATTAACAGGCGAGAACCTCATATCTGGATGCAATGCCTATAAAACATTTGCAAATTAGGACACATTTTGCAACCATTAATACATGTAGTACACCCAAAAGTCATTAGTATATTTATCCATGTGATGGTAGCATTGGCTGCCTGGAATGAATAAATTTTATTCAATCAAAATTACCTGTTACTAGCAGCATGTGTGGAATATGGAAGTGAATAACGAGCTCAAGTCAGAGCCTCCAGTATTGCAAAACCAAGTGAAGTCCACCATCTGAGAGAGATTCACAATGCATTGCGTTTGTAACCTTGTGTATTTACTAACGACAGTAACAATAATAGAATGGAATACAAGAAAAATTACCATGGGCTTGTCTCATTACTCGAGAGCAATAACTAAACAAATATATGACTCTTAATCCTCTCATGACCATCTAAGCCTTCTGCAGCTTCACTAAGGGAGGAACAACATGACAAATACCTGAACACATGATTTGTGGCAATCGTTGCTCAAAAAGGCGAGTTCAATACTGAATAAAGGACTATCACATGACAGGGGGATTATTCTTTCAAGGAAACAATAAAATTTAACCTACTACGTTCACAGTACATAAAAAAGTACAAAAGAAGAAAATATATGAGGGGTGGTTATATAAAATTAGTTTTACTCCACACACATTAGAAAATCTATGGCTAGACTCAGATATTTTTTGATAGGAACATTCAAAGATATTTTTTAATAGGATGATTCAAAGATGTTTTAACTTGCCCATCAAATGGGAAAAAATAATAGTCACATCATCATGAAGTTGCAATACATTTTGTGGCTTGACTAAATCAAATCTGTGAGAATAAAAAACCAACCAATAAATAATCCTATTATGAGCCTGAGCCAAAAGAGAAACATAAATGCTTCGTGTTTGAGAAAAGAGTTCTCAATGTCCACTACAATGCTTGAAAGCAGTATGCAAAACGGTTCACTGACATATGCATTTTATTATCTCCATCTAATGAAAAAGAAAAAATTCTTCACATCCATATCACAGCTAATTTACCAAACAAAAGGGATGTCATAAAAAACATCAACAAAAACTTGAAATCAATGAGAATAACAACTCATCTCCAATTAACGGTCAAATGACAGCTTGTCTCCAACAGTAAAGGGATGCCACAGAAACATGGAATCACTAAAGAGAATTGAATAGTTAAAGTTTAAAAAACATAAGCTTCACAGCTTTTCCTTATATAGCACCTTGCACACAAGAACAAGAAGGTATGCTACTAATCAAAAAGAAGATAAAAGTAAAAAAATAGCACTGGCTCGTTACAAAACACAATGACTGATGCAGTAGTTATCTCGCCAAAAATAAACATTCTCCACAGTTTGCATGACTTGTATCTAATAGCAAACAACTCATGTAACTTGTGAGTTGATTTAACAAGGCAAGCCTCTACCCAAAAATCAACAAGGCAAGCCCCTACTCAAGCACCATTGCATATAAGGTACTAATGTAGGGAATTTGATGAAGATAAAATAGTGAAAACCTGTGGAGGACAAGACAGATGACAAGAGCAAAAACAGTAAAATGCATATAGGCCATGAAAAAAAAAACTGAAGGATGACATGAGAAACAATCTTCTATTCTATTTCTTACCATGACAAAACAACAATATCATAAACATGGACAGAAAGATAAAAATGCCAAACCATCTATATACCTGCATCTGGAACACTTGGCTCTTACTACTTGTCATGGCAGGACACCATTTTACAATCCTTTTTGCAAGCTCGCTCTTCTTCAAAGGTGCAATTCTGGCATTCCTAATCTTCTTTAAAAGGTCAACATGTTCTTTCTCATCAAGGAGTACACGGAAACAAGACTGTTAACAGAGAAGAAAAAATAAACTAAGGCATGGAGTACAAATATATGGGTCTGACAATCAGAATTAGTGTACTCAGTATAATATACTTACCATCCAAAATCCATTGGAGGATCAAGTGATTGGTGAAGAAAAATAGAGAAAGTGGGGGGAAGGTGCAAAGCAACCTTACAAACCAGTACGCTTTGAGGTCAGAACCACAGCGAGCCTCTCAAAAGTCAAAACATCAATTATCTTGAAAGCTTATTTACTCTTCCGTAAGCTATTATGATATTACAGTAATAATACGTCAACAATTTCCTAAAATAAGGAAGAATGTAGAGTTGGCCGGCAAATCAACTAAAAAAAATGTGGTATGGGTTGCTGTGCCCTAGATGAAACAGAACCCCCACCCCCCTTTGGCCTTTCAATTTCCTCATCATGGGATTCCTTGTCAGGTTATTTTATTTGCAGCAAAGCATGTGACCTTGATGTTGCTAGATAGCCATGGGAAACAATTGCAATGCGATTCAGCTAAAGAAATTATCAAATTATGAAATGAAGGTTGATATTACACATAGGTAGGTAATGGTACATAATAAATATACCATTACACATCAAAATTTTCTAGAAGGAAATGTAGTGATATGACCATATCCTATCCAGTTACAAGTTCCACTACACCGATAGAACTATGACTATATGTTAAGCAAAGCATCAGTTAGCACAGAAGATGCAAAACATTTATTATTTGAATTCAAGCATGTTGTATTCATAACCCCATCACCATTTTATCCCAAAATTCGAGAAATATTTGGAGGCATGGACGAATCATAATTTGGCATTCTTCTTGATAAAGTTTACATGCACAAGAACAAAAGATAGTGCAAGATTCTACAATCCAACTTAAACTAAACACTAAATATATGGATGTGGATGTTCGTGTTTCTTTTGGTTTTTTCCGATGCCATTAATTTTTTAATCTACATGACAAAATAAAGCTTCCGGCATCTAGTTGTATCATAGTAACTGCAGGGCAACGAGTTGAAAAAGAAAAAACAAGTACAATTTGCTCCCACTTTTGAAGTACTTTTCTTCTTCGTGATTGTTTTGTACTACTGCTTTTTCATTTTTCCTAGTCCTCCTCCAACCTTAATAGCATTTAGAAGAGTATCCATATGCATCTACATAGATGTATTATTCACATAAAGACACACAATTATCACTTTGCAAAATATCAACCAAACATGCTTTTGCTATTTTTTTTTTGGTTCAAGAGAAGTTCCTTAAATAAGTGTTACTACAAGATACATCGGAAAACAGTTTCGAAGTAGGCAATGTGACCCACAAATCTAGAACAAGATAGAACCACTACCTTGCTAATGCACTTTAACTTATCCAACATTATAAACTGACTGAGAAAAGTCAAGTTTCCATAGTGCCCTGAAAAATCCCAAAAACTCCCATGGCATGTTTCACAAACACCATGCTTGTTTGCATGACCCTGAAACCCAACAAGAAAGTACCTTTTAGACACAAAGAAATTAATGTAAAAAAAAAGTAAACATTGATGTCTTTCATTAGGTAAATTTAGCATGTGGAATAAGTCAATGACGAAGAATAGCTGGAATAAGGCAGGACACAAAAGACATATATACTAAAACTCAAACCCGATATTTTGAACGTTTAGCTAGCTATTTCATGCGGAGCATTTGCACTCTGGGAAGAAAAAGTTACATTAGTCAAGAAGACCACATATAATCCAGCAGAACAAAGCAAAAATGGGACAAAAAACATTACATAGCTAAGCATTACAAAACCTTCACCCGTCACTAGAAAGACAACATTCTTGCAAAGCTCTTAAACAAGTCATCTCCACCATTTTCCAACTGAAAATTGAGACAGACATGAATCATGGATGATAGTACATCGACCATGTATCAAATTCAGAATTGTTAGAAAGATCCAAAATATTTTTTAGATATATGTACATACCGACATGATTATCGGCATGAAGTATAAAACTTCACTAAATACAAGGTAGAATCAGTGGGATAAAACTAGTCAAAGAGAGTTTTAAATTATTAAAATTGTGGAACCCTGTCAAACATCAGGCTGTTTAAAAGAAATTATCTCCTGTGCACAAGCTACAAGTTATTTTCGATATATACAGGAAACGATATGAGTAGAGAAAGAAGATATTCGTACGTATTTAGAAGCAACAGATAAACACTCCTTACTAACCACAGGTAGCGTCTTGCGGTGCTTAGTATTCAGTGGCTACCTCTTTCTTGATATTGGTAAGCTTTCCATCAATCTTTGACCAAACAAAAGAAAGTCATTTTCAAATGAAACCGCCCAACAAATGACCAGCATGTAAACATATACATGCTTCCAAATATCAACCCACTGCATACAAGAGTTCTTAAACAAAGACATTAGCGCATCAACTTCCGAAACTAAAAGGCTTGATAAAGCAGACTTCCTTGCATATGACAAGAATTCACAAATAGTTGCAATGGATTTGGTCATAAAAGGCGGGGATCAATTCATAAACCCGTAAATAAAGAGTCAAAATCATTACAACAGTCACACACTAATAAAAATACACATATATATAATAAAAATACCGCACACATTGAATCACAAAAGGCACACACATAGACACTAAGATAATATAAAAAAATTCACCAGCAGCACCACACACACTATACACACAAAAAAACATTAACACAAATTGGAAGATGAAAAAATACACACACTATAATAAAAACAACCCCAGCAACACCGCACCCACACACAATCCACCTAAAGGCACATGCACAAAAATATGCTGATAAAAGAAAATGTACACACATAAAAATAAATTGATGAAAAATACACATACACTAATAAAAACACACGGACGCACAAACTAGACATATAAAAACACACAAAAGCATATTGATAACAAAAAAATACACATATTGATACACAGTAACACATAAGTATAAACACACACGTTGATAAAAGAAAAATACACAATATACCCAAAAAAAAAAAAACACGTTGATAAAAGAAAAATACACGATGCACAATGAAACACACACAAACGCACTAATAAATATAGACTTTGAGTGATCTATCTATGTCTAACCGACATTGACTTAGAGTGATCTACTGGAGCATATACCTTCAGTTGGTTGAAATATATGAATGGAATTTTCAATTGATTTGTTGAAGTGTGCTGGAGAAGTCTTATTAGGATGACGGTGGTGGTGTTTGCATTGGTGGAGTAAGTGAGGGTTAAGGATGAGTACTTACTTATGTTCAACTCGTTGGACACCCAAATCTAACTCACTTTTTAATTTGTGTTATTACCCAACTTGATTACAACTGGCAATTAGTTACCAAACCTGCTAATTTGTAATCAGATTGGCTTCTAGTTCCTGCCTCTCTAGCTATTCCTTAGGGTAAAGTATAACTAAGAAGGATATCTCATATCACAACTAGAAAATATTATAAGTAGTGTTCACATTGTTATGTGGCCTCCTTTGTTTCTAGAGATTAAAAATGACCAATGACCAAAAAAATTTGACATCAATAGTAAATAAGCAACAATGTGACTCACACCATTATAGGCACGTATGAATAGTGTGATTTAATGAAGATGGACAACGTTCCCTACAACCCTATGCAAACATGATTTTACCGCGATGCAGACAAGAAACTTTTAACATGATGACTAGATTGAGATAAATTAAAGCAAAACATTACTGAGATTGTAGCCAATGAAGTTGCATATAAAATGTATGAACGGAAATAACCAATTTTCGGAAGGCACTGAAGGTGCTTGTACAAACTTGCGGGTAAACTTATGACGCAAACTACTCTAGTAGCTCTATCATCTTCACCATGTCTACATTATCAATGCGCTATGCAAGGCACACAAAGCGAGAGGTGGCAAATTCAAAAGTTTGGCAGGTTGTGGGCAGATTGATTATATCCTTAAATCCATAAATAAATTATCTAAAACATTAAAATAGTCGCACACTATAAAAATACACACATATACACATAAAAAGAACGCACTGACACATAAAAATCACAGACTAAAACACAATGAACACACATAACAACATAAAAAAATTAAAAATACACATCGTAAATACTAATAAATAATGCACACTAACACATTACACAAATCAAAAACACATTGGGAAAATAAAGATTCCACGATACCTAAGTGATCATATTGGATCCTTGGGAACCATCACAAGTACGGACTGCCTATATTTGAACGATAATGCCGTGACATCCAGCGGAGATACAAACATTACAATAAAAACATGCATAAACAAATACACAAAAACAAATTGATAAAAGAAACACACACAACAACATTGATAAGAAAATACACACACACAGACCCTAATAAACACAAACAAAAACAGCATAAAAATGCACAAAAACATAGAAATAAAAGAAAAATATGCACACTATTACGCAATCAAATGCAATAACAAATACAACACACATTGATAAAAGAAGAATATAGGCTACACAATAACTATGTCTTGCCCTGTAAAAGATACCTCTATAACTTCTAACAATGCGATAGGGCACATATACACATAAAAAGAATGCACTGACACATAAAAATAACACACTAAAACACAAAGAACACACACATCAACAACATTAAAAATACAGATAGTTACAAAACGCACACTAACACATTACACAAATCAAAAACATATTGGAAAAATAAAGATTTACGACACCTAAGTGATCATATTAGATCCTTGGGAACCATCACAAGTATGACTAGCCTATATCAGAACGATAATGTTGTGTCATCCAGCGGAGCCACAAACATTACAATAAAAACATACATAAACAAATACACAAAAATAAATTGATAAAAGAAAACACACATAACAACATTGATAAGAAAATACACATACACTAATAGACACACACACACAGACCCTAATAAACACACACAAAAACATCATAAAAATGCACAAAAACATAGAGATAAAAGAAAAATACACACACTAATACGCGGTCAAATGCAATAACAAATATAACACACATTAATAAAAGAAGAATATAGGATACACAATAACTATGTCTTGCCATGTAAAAGACACCTCCATAACTTCTGACAATGCGATAGGGCACACATACACATAAAAAGAATGCACTGACACATAAAAATCGCACACTGAAACACAAAGAACACACATAAACAACATTAAAAATACACAGTAATAAACGCACACCAACACATTACATAAATCAAAAACACAAAAACACATTGAGAAAACAAAGATTCCACGATACCTAAGTGATCATATTGGATCCTTAGTAACCATCGCAAGTACAGCTGACCTATATTTGAACGATAATGCCGTGTCGTCCAGCGGAACCACAAACATTACAATAAAAACATTCATAAACAAATACACAAAAACAAATTGATAATAGAAAACACAAACAACAACATTGATAAGAAAATACACATACACTAATAGACACACTCACACATAAACCCTAATAAACACATAAAAACAATATAAAAATGCACAAAAATATAGAGATAAAAAAAAATATGCACACTATTATGCAGCCAAATGCAATAACAAATATAACACACATTGATAAAAGAAGAATATAGGATACACTAACTATGTCTTGCCTTGTAAAAGACACCTCCACAACTTCTGACAATGCAGTAGGGCCCAAAAGCTTTGAAACAAGCCAAAATTAATTTCGTTTTCCAGTTCATTTAATATTTCAATAGGATTCCTCTATAAACCAAATGTCAAGAACTATCATACCTTTTTTACAATACCCAGTTCAGATCATTCCTTTAGCACTTGCACACATAGAAGCTGCAGAACATGGCTTTCAAGAATCACCTGGCAAGATGGGTCCGAACTATTCTTTTCTACTTTACTTCCAATCCTTCCTTGTTTAGGTCCAGAATCTTCTATTTTGGAACTGCAAAAATGGTATATACCTTCCATGAAAACCTTGATTGATGTGGCTTCAAAACTTGTTGAGAAATACCAAAGGCAAGCTAAATAACAATTTAAGAAAAAAAAGCCAAAAAATAAAAAGTTAAGAATGTACCTTTACACCCTTTTGACATGAAATAGAAGTTTGGGTTATCTTGTTTATATTTGAAATTCACAAAAGTAATGAAAGTATTGCGATAAAGATTTTGAGTAGACCACACTAAGTAATAAGAAGGGTTAAAAATATAAATTCAAATTGTCTTACTTCGTTTCATCAATACCGCTCATGTCACTTCTCATTTCCAGAGAACAAGATACTTTTAGAGTCTCCATTTCTGAAGTTCTATCTTTGGTTCCTTGGAAAGACTGAATTGGCCACCATTGGCTTATCATTTTCAAAGGACAAACTGTTTGCTGCAATTGCTAGCATCATCCTTTAGCTCAAATTGTCCACCATCTGTTGACACATCTTCTCTCCGTCTTGTAAACACATTCTTTAATTGTTATTTTGGAAAACTCCATACCTCCCAACATGAAATGAATCCCGAGATATGCATTGAAATCTGAAGATAAGTGCTTTATTTGTTCAAGTTATGTTAGCAGAAAAAATCAACCACGGGAAGTTTGATTGGGAAGCAAGAAATAAAATAATGATAGTGAAACATGTT